TCCACTTTCAGCCTTAACTGTGGACACTGCATCCTCTTTATTCAGTGAATCAAAATCTTCATCCTCAGAAGTATTAACTATATTCTGAACTATTTCTTTTATGCTGATGTCTGGTATGTCTTCTGCTGTCACTGCCTGTGCAGCACTCTCAGCATAACCACTGGACAAAAACATTTTTACAGCTTTTGCAAGTCCAACACACTATATTTCTCCTTGTACTATGGCATGAGCTATGACTTTACCAGCCATCTTTAGCAAGCCATTAAAGACGAGCTGTTGGGAGTGGACAGGAACTTTATGGTCATTATTTCCTTCAAACATCAGTGGTTCAATAGAACTAAGCACAGTGTCAACTGCAAATTCCAAGAACTTTTTGAGTGGTCCCCAGCATGTGCTGCTTCCTCTTCATATTCTTCACCTCCAACATCACTAACAAAATATACAATTGGCTGTTTCATCATGAAATTACCAGATGCATTTTTGTATATCCTGCATATTTCTTTTTTGAGCGGCTAAGGGTTATGGAAGCACTTGGGCCATTTGCTGTGGTGCTATCTTTGAATTTTTCTAGGATGCTCTCAGGTGGCAAGCCTGCAGGGAGAAAAGTGAAAGAAAGTATATGGGGTATTGAAAATTTAAAGCTATTTTCTGATTTGCTATCAAAAAGACATCCCTCTGCCTCTGCTTGTAATTCTAATACAGAGCAGATTTGCTACTGTGGTACTGCATTTAAATGAATCTTGAATCTTGCAACCTCACACCAATCCCAAGGGCTATTCATACTTTCAGTAACAAGTGGTTTGAATGAGATCAAAAGTGAAACCCAAAAAAATCACTCGCAGATTGTCTGTCCAACCTTGTGTAACATTATTCATGGCCATGAAATTCTAAAAAGGTACTAAAAGAATTGAAGTAACGTACACATCCCCAAAAAACTTCAAATCCTGATACCCTCCCAATCACTAAAAGAATGAACCACCCCCTGGAACAGCAACTCTGGTACCTGATGGGCTGGCATTTATCTATGGTTTCTCCTGTTCTATACCCACAAACAATGGTTGTGGGTTGTGAACATCTACCAACGTGTCCTCTGCATTAGAACCATGTGAAAATAATAAGATAGCGAAAATCAGACCTGAAAAAAAAAATCAGGCCTGTATTGCTTAAATAGCGCTATCTACTGCGAGGACCGTGCATCATATGTATCTAATACCGCAGTACAAAATATATGAACTTCATATATTTCATTGTATCTCATTTATCACTTTCACGGGTTTATT